ATACTGTTCTTGATTTTGTTTTCTAATTTATCCCCAAGGCTGCCATATTTAGTAAGATCAAGAAAAGTGAATGGGTGAGCATCAGACAGTTCTTGCAGCATTCCRTAAACACTGTTGGCTGCTAACTCTGCAAATAAAGAAGGAAAATAACAGCAGTGGAATAGCACAAGTTAGAGTGGGTTTGGTTCAGCCCAAAGAAGCTCTGATGAGCTATTACATAAAACCAGAACAACTTCCTGGCAGCAGCTCACCTTTTCAAAGGACCAGCAGGAAGGGAKTCTGCAGTCTGTGCAACTCTTCAATGGACTGCTGTCCATAATGGGAGCTCTGATCTCTGGCTTGATCTCAACGCAGTTAGCTGTACAAATAAGTGGGATTATTCATTATCTTTCTTAACTTCCTCTTTTAAAAGTTTGTGCTAAGGAGYCTTGTATAAGCTGTATGCTGTAGTTAGTTTCTCTAATTCTAGAATTAGAGAATAGAAAAGGGAAGAAAAAAGGTTTGCCTTTATCTTGGGGAGCAGCAGACTGATCCATGGCTTAATGATCCAGCAGAACAGAGAGGCTGGGAAAGGGCATGGCTCTGGAGGAATTTGTGAGCCACAACTCAGCCAAAGAACWCTCTGAAGTAGAAACTCTGCTGGCTTTTAAATGCTGTGGTCCTCTCTCCCTCCCTCCTCTCTGGGCCCTGACTGCCCCTGCCCCTCCTGCCCCATTCCTGCTGCTCTGGGAGGGTCTGGAGTAGGTGRCAGCACAGAACTGTCTTTTTCACTTCGTMTTTTTGTTTTGKTTTGGTTTTTGATTTGCCACCCTCTGTGTTTCAAAGGAGCCCTGACTGCYGTGGGGAATGTACAATAGCGTTGTGTCTGCTCTTAGGAGTTGCAATGCATGAAGGATGAGCTGTATGGAGCTATCTTAAAATGCCTTCCTCCTTTTTTTTCTTTTTTTCTATTTTTTTCTTTAGTTTTGCAGATATCTAATGTATTTATTTTAAACTCCCATTTTCTGTCCTCTCTGTCTCCCTGAATTTGGAAAATGTCTGGAATCAAATGCATACCAATGGGCATTAGCAAATGTCTGACTTTGGAAACTCCARCATCTAGCAAGGCAGGAAAAGCTCCAGCTCTGCTGTATTAACTGTTACACATGAATAGTTCCATCATAATGTGCTTGGGAATAGTGACATATACACAAAAACTATTATAGCCCATCATTCATTTTCCAGTAGAATAATTCATAAACATTCATAAAAATTTAGCTATGCCAAGTGGCAAATGTCCTATCCTGCAGCCCCGAAAASCTGAAGATTTTTCATTTTCCATTGTAAACATTTTATTATGACATTTTCTGATTAGAATCGCATAAATCTCTCAGCAGTGAATTCGTTGCATATATTTCTTGCTGAGATTGTAGCTGCAAGTAAGCATCCTCTGATATTCTTAAAATGTAATTTTCTTAGGGAAGGTAGCAGAACAACAATAACACCACAGAAGTATTGGATCAAAAATTATACASAGAAGAGTATTTTCAAGGGGAAAGAGAGCATAACACAAAAGGAGCAAATAAAGTCTTATTTGCTGKGTGTTGTTTGCAAAATGTTTTGAACATTTTATTGAATATATCTTCCTTGTGAATTATGCATGTTCTCCAGTGCCTTTGGGAAGGTGTAAAACTCTATATATTACAAATGGAATACATGACCTCCTGATGTTTTCCAGATATTGCTTTAAATCGAAAACCGAACAATTTCATATCTAAGGGTTATTTTATTCCCTTTCGAGGTGGTTAAGCAAGAATATCATGGTGCAGGGAAGATTTCTGAATGTGTTGTCTCACTGGAGCCTGCTGCATGTCATTGCAGGGAGATACAGTGTATTGGTGCACTAAAATGCACCGATTTATTCATTGTATTTGTTAACTTCCTCTTTTAAAAGTTTCTRCTTAGCTTTTGTAGGCTAAAATCCATCCTTACAGTATGCTGCGACTGAAAACAAAGTGTGTTCTAATTACTTTAATAATTCCAGCGAGACCTTGTGATTTTTAAAGTCTTTACATATCCAATACTTGGCTGGTGTTGTGTTCAAGCAGTGAATCCTTCTGGTGGGTCAGTTGGACTTGTCCTTCTGAGACAAGGGAAAA